TACATAGACTTTCTATCGAAAAGTACAATTTTTGAACAGCGGAAATTATTTTCACAAATGAAACACTTCTGTATTAATTTTTAGGCACGAAATAAAGTGGCCATACTAGGCTTAATCGTATTTGATTTTACTTGAAGATGTTGACAAGACTCTAAATTTCAATATTAACTTACATTTATTAACTTTTCCAGTGGTCAATTTTAGAGCCATCAGTTTTGCCCGTGAAAGGAATGTAAAAAGTTGTGCGAGAGAAATTTTTTGTGACAAAAAGGGGGTTATTCATTTATTGTGTTGCAAAAGTCGATTTTTCTGTACCCGATTATTTTCGGGTATCCGTAAATCGAGAAAAAAAATCGATCTCGTGAGGTGCCGGACCCACTCGAAAGGAGATTTCACTTACTAAGGCCATATATAGAAATCTCATAATAAATCGACCGTTTTGTTTTATAACCCTTTAAATTTACAGTTTGCAAAAATAAGGGGTTATCTTGGGTACAATCATGCATAAAAACCCGGTTTACTTGAGGTCGTACCACAGCCGAGGCAGGATTATTTCGCCGTCAAATGATGGCTTAAAGGAACTCGCCTGCCACAATCAAACCCGATGGGACTAGAATATGCATGCAGTGATTCTTGATCGTGCACAGAAATTCACCCGGCAATGCCGGAACCCATATGCACGACCTTGTCTCATAACTCGCCCTTGGTCATGAGCGTAAAGTTTTTTTGACCGTACCAAGAATTTACCCGGCAAAGCCGGAACCCCCGAGAACGATCCGATCGAAAACTTTACAAAACTCGCCATCCCATTTCTTGAAATCGATGAACGAGAAGGTATTCATCAATTTGTTAGATGCTCCGTTCTATCTCAAAAATTGGCAAGGAACAACACCAAAAGAAGAAAAGCCCTTGAACCTATCTCTTTACGAGTTAAAGGTTCTTCGGACAATCGAGAAAAGAAAATGGTATCGTTAATCATCGAGGACCCGGTTCCCCGAATCAAGCAACCTCAAGAGATAGCGTGCAGCAGCAACGAAGGGTACCCTGTTCACGTTCTAGCGAGCGACGTCACCCGATACCACCAACTACCCGCCAGCTGTCTGTACGGGTCATCATTTTAGCCGAGAAATCATGCGGGTTACCTTGGTATTAGGATTTTTTAAGGAATTACAATGAAAAAAAATTAAGGATATCTTTGAATTCTACTTATGATCGTCATCAGAAATTTCTTGATCTTGTGATCTTGGTTCTTCTTGATTGCTTAAGAAGAATTAGGTTAGTAGGAAAAATAAATTGAAAACTACAATATAAACATTAACCCGGACCCTTCGATAGAACAGCTCTAAATCTCATAACTCTATCACACAGCTCTTAGGAAACGAACCAGATTCAGCAAAGCGAGTCTAGACATTCGCCACGTATCCATGTTAACCTACGTTGATGTGTCACAACCAACGCCTCCGTGATAGCAGTCATGAGCTTACGTGCAAGACGCCCATTCGAAAGAAGGAGCCGAGTTAACGTGAGTTACGAATTATTTCAAAGGAGGGGGTTAAGTTGAAACTACGCTATGTAACCCAAGAACCATCAGCGTAGCCCAGCACGGAAGAAAGAAAAGAAATGAAGGAAGGCTAATATAATATGGCCAATTTAATATCATATACGATTTTCTTCTTTCTTTTGATCGACTTTTCTTTTTCACTTTTTCTTTTCGTCTTTTCTTTTTGGCTTCTTTTTGACTCTTCTTTATTTTTCGCGTTACACCCTATCTCGAAATCTGATTGGTTGGCGAAATAGTAGCGAAATTTTTTTAGGTTGGTGACGCTAGGGGGGTTATATATGATACCTGTGCATATCCGACGCCAACCCGTGCCTTTCAATTTTCTTATAGGGTTAACAAGGTGTATTGTTTTGTATTATATAAAGTTTTGCTAAAAAAATTAAATTATAAAAATAAAGTTACTTTAACTGATAAATCAAAAAATACGGACCCGTGAGCCCGTTAAGTAATGTGATATATTAAGATACTTAAGTGCTAATATAAAGGCAATTTTTAACTTATTTTTTTCTGTGCCGTGTTATAAATTGCATATACCGCACACATAATTTACAAACTCTTATCGCATAAATTCCGTGTCCCTGATTGTAAAGTTTCATAAATTACAATGTAATCTCATGTGACATAAAAATGTAACTTTGAAGTTACGAATTAATTCTGCAAATTATGTTTACCAGAGTTACGAATTAATTCTACCACAATTATGTTTACCAGAGTTACGAATTAATTCTACCAAAATTATGCTTACCAAAATTACATTACCAATTAATTCTACCAAATTTACAAAATTATGTTTACCAGAGTTACGTGGTCAACAAAGTTTCAGTGGAGTTAGACCAGCATTAAGTAATACAATGTTTACTGATCCGCTTATCTGCTTAATTTTACATTATTAATTTTATGTGGGGATTTTTTTCTTTGCGATTTGTATGCGTCACATGATTTTTGATTTACGTATTTGTTAGAACGTAATATATTTTCCGAACCACCAATCAAAAATTCTTCTGATCTTTTCCAAATTTATTAAGAGGTTTTGCCCACTTGCAGATTGAATAATATTTAACCCCGAATCCGACGATATAAAACGTTCCTTATCAAAAGATGATTGGAAAAAAAAAATTGAACGGATTCGAAACCCATCATATTATGAAAAGACTAAACCTTCCTTACCGAATTCAAAAGATCCTGATTTATGGAAAAAATACCGAATGAATCTTCCGGAATATTTGGAGCATTCCATATATTTTGAACCTATTTCGTCTGAACTATTTCTTATTGATATTTTAATATCGAAAAATCCCGAAAATGATGACGAAGCCATAATCGATGAATATGCAAAAACAATGAAGAACAGTAAAAATACACCTAATACCAAGCTTTCTATGTAACGATCTGTAAACTATTAGTTAATCTAAATAAACTGTA